TGAATTATTACATTACAGGTCAGATTGTGTACATATCAAGGTCACAAATAGTGGGTAGGTAGATGATGCAGAGGAGTGGGTGAGAAAGAAAAAAAAACAAAGCAAAGAAGGGGTTGAAAATATTATGAAGTAAATTGATCCTTGGCTCTAAATTGTCTGTCTGTCTGTCTGTTTTCGACATAGAACTTTGCACAAATGTGCGGAAGTTCAAGTCGCCACATTCCGTGTAGCACGCGAAGCAAGAGAAGAAAGTACAAGAAAAGCATAATAGAAACAGTGAGCAGAGGTGTGAGACAAAGGAGTAATAAAGAAATACAAAACAGTTTCATTGGAGATCATAAGTCACAGGGAGTGGATGCATCTGCGCCACTGAGAACGATTTTGAGCCATGTCACCAATTGTTTCCAACCATAGATTTTTACCGTCCCGAGGACCCCAGCCTGGAAGTCTACACCTTCCTACGTGGCTTAGACCAACTGTTGTGGATTTCATTGACTGATGCCAAGTTTTTGTTTGACCGCCGCTAGCTTTTTTCCAGCCTGACCCTATATCCGCTAACATAGCTCGTCGAGGGAGGCGATGGCTTGGCATACGTAACACATGTCCTAACCATCTCAGTCTTTGTAGCTTCACGACTTCGTCGATTGATTTCCCCTGTTTACCTAGAACTCTACGCCTAACCTCCATGTTGCTCACCTTATTATGCCACTTTACACGGGAAATAGAACGCAGGCACCTATGATCAAAGACAGCTAGTCTTTTCATGTCTTCCACTCTCAGTGGCCAGGTCTCACAACCATAAAGGAGGACGGAGCGGACTGATGAGCAGTACACCCGCCCTTTGGTCGATAGTCGAACATCTCGTCTACGCCAGAGTCGGCGTAAACTAACAAATGCGAAACGAGCCCCTTGTATTCGTGCTGAGATTTCGTCAGAGATCAGCCCGTTGGCACTGGCTGATGGTACTTCCCAAATAAGTGAAGCGGTCAACGTGCTCTACCACTTCACTTCCTATTTTTAAACTAGGCGTCGATGTAGTCCAGTCCTGTAACATCATCTTGCATTTGGCGGGAGCGAATCGCATGCCAAACATTCGTAGATTGCGGCTCAAGGTGTTTAGAAGACTCTGCATTTCGTCAGCGTCTTCGCCTAGAAGGACTATATCGTCTGCATATTCCAAGTCAACGAGATTATTCCCCGGTAGCAAGTCAATTCCTGAGTCGCTGAAGTCACCTAGGGTTAAGTCCATTAACACATCTATGATGAAGTTGAATAGAAAAGGAGATAATGGGCATCCTTGACGGACACCACTGGTCGTCATCAGTTCAGATGACAGCTCGCCGTAAGCCCTCACCTGGCTGTATGAGTACGAATAGAGTGCCTTAATCAGTGCAATATATTTTCTCGGAATTCCCTTTACAGCCAAGCATCTCCAGAGAACTTCCCGATCGACAGAGTCGAATGCTGCCTTTAGGTCAAGAAATATAATGACTGTTGGACGCCGGTAGGAATGCCTATGTTCTAGAATCTGTCGGAGGGTGAAGATATGATCAATACACCCTCTTCCTGGTCTAAAGCCTGCCTGGCTCTCTCGTGTTTGTGCTTCCCGAGCACCACTCAGTCTACGCATGATTATTGAGCCTAAGACTTTAGATACTATATTAGTCAAGCTAATCCCTCTGTGATTATCACAGGAAGACTTGTCTCCCTTCTTGTATATGGGGATAATCAGTGACTTACACCAACCCGATGGGACTTCTTCTGATTCCCAGACGCTGCCTAGTACCTCAGTTAATGCAGACAGTAAGCTGTCTCCACCGTACTTAAATACCTCTGGCGTCATTCCATCAGGTCCCGCTGCTTTGCCTAGTTTCAGATTGGTGACAGCTTTAGTAACCTCAGTTAGTGACGGAGGACCTGTGTTTATATCCCATTCAGGGAGGTGTTGGATGCTCGGAAGGTTGAGCGTGGCTGTGGGCAAATTAAACTGGCTCTAAATTGGATTACCAAGTCAGGTTTAAAGTAATAACAAATAACTTTTAGACACATAAGACAGGTTTAGGTCTTTTTACGGACAAGGTTTCAAGGAACTTAACTTATGTGACCCAACCTTGTTTTTTATATGGGCTTCAAAGCATTGTTGAAATCAACCTTTTGACCCGTCTCTATAATGTGCTTCGCTATAGATGACGTTGGACATCTATTTCCGGGATCAGTTGTATCTGGTGGTTTTATTTGTTGCTGCAGCCACTTTGGAATGTGTTCTGTAGCCCTAACCTTCAGAGACCGATGAGTCCTCTCTATGTACGTGTGCCCACAAATATATGTAAATTGATAAACAAAATAAGATGTGACACTCTCGTTCCGATGATGTGAGGGTTTACAGGACAGCATAGTTCTCATTTTCTCTATGAAGATAAGTTTAGCAAGCGCTAATTATTGTCGCCTTGAATCTTTGTGTAGTGATCAGACTATGTTGATCACCCCTGAATGGCAAGGGTACATTAAAATCCTTTTTGGAAGCTGATTGAATTGGTAGAGCTCTTTGGTTGAAACTTCCTTAATGGTTAATAAATCTCAGTGGGTAATTGTTAACCAACAATATTTCAGTGAGATGTTGTCTTTCTTCTTCATTTGTGTCGGTAGTACATATACTTTGAATGCGTTTGAACAAACACTTAACCAACCCCTTTTTATGCTGTAGTGGACAAAAACCATGATAATTTACATAGTGTCCTATCCATGTGGACTTTCTGTAGACAGATGGTTTCACTGACCTATCTTCCCGGCGGGTTATGAATACATCTAAAAATGATAAACAATCATTGTTCTCTTTATCGTATATTAGCAATATACTGTTTTGTACTCTATTGATCTAGTTTAGGATTCCTATGGCGTCTGTCGGTTAATCACAAATGATTTAAGTCATCCACGTACGTATCTCATATGAAAATAAACTTTTCCAATTATGGCCTCCACTAGGTTCTCAACATACGAAAATGCCTTTAAGCCCATTTATAAAACAAGGCTGAGTCACATGAGTTAAGTTCCCTGAAACCTTGTCCGTAAAAAGACCTAAACGTGTCTTATGTGTCTAAAAGTTATTTGTTATTACTTTAAACCTGACTTGGTAATCCAATTTAGAGCCAAGGATCAATTTACTTCATAATATTTTCAACCCCTTCTTTGCTTTGATTGTTTTCCCTTCTTACCAACACTTTTGCGTCATCTGCCTATCTGTTATTTGTGACCTTGACCTGCACACAATCTGACCAGTATCATAATGATTCATGCTTCCTATAGAACTGTGTATGACAAGTACTCGTGTGTATGACCAGAATGTCCGGAATTTGTTGTGCAAATACATTACACGTTTCAGATAAACTACGTCTTCATAATGTGCTGTTGAAATTCATAAATGGAAAAAATTGCTTTAAATCTACTATTAATCCAGTTAATACAGCAAGCTTTGCAAGGGAATTGGTATTAAAATTGATAAATGGTTACCACAGCAGTTTTTTTTAGAGCGGGCAGTTTGATCTCCTGACGCACTTACTCTCACGGATCACAAAAGACCTAGAAGTTCAAAGAACACTCCTAGGTGAATGAATGCATGTGTGACCTGGGTCCTTTTCATTTGAACATTTTTATTGCATAGCCTTGTTTGGAGAAATAATTTCCTTCATACTTCACAAGTATCAAAATAGCCCAAATGTTAACTCATGCTTCCAATGAACATTAGAGATTTTCCCGCTTTTTTCCTATAGTTCTTCAGGTGAAAGCATACTTGTTCGGTGTCTCCCTTCAAAGAGAGCTATTCTGCCTCTGAAGTAATGTTCTAGTATTACTGTGTACTATTTTATTCTTAATACATTAAAATGCTAAATGTTTTGCAATGTCTGCTATGCCATCATACTTTTGCCACTCTGAAACTTCAAGTTAAACAGTTGGACTGAAGGTTTTTAATGTTGGCACAACTAAAAACTTTCATTCGTTTTTTATTTCCACTTGGACATTGTAAGTGATTTGTCAATGCTAATTCATTGAAATCCCCATTTTAGCATAATCTTATACTTGTAGGGGACTTAATAGCGGGCTCGGTCACTTTTTTTATTTTTGATTATAGCTTGATTCCACACTGTATTTTTGGTACAAGTGTGGAATTTTCAGCGTGGATATCGGTAGCCCAAAATTCGCAGGCCGACCATAGATATCAAGTGTGCGTCGGCGTGGGCTCGAACCCCAGACCATGTGCAAGGTCGACGAGAGTCTTAACCACTGTGCCACCGACGCACATGACAAATATTAGAATAAAAACCCAAGTTAATGAAATAATATTGGAACAGTATATTATAAAAACTACAGTCAATGAGTTATAGAAATTAATGGTTACTTGGTGATACAGTTAAACTCCGCTGCTACAAATTACTAATGTAATCCACAGAAGGTTTCACTGCTGGCGTCGTGCCTACTAATAGAAGCTGTGCACCGATTGTAGAATAGTCTTCGGGTGAAGATGAGAGGTTCCTGCAAAAATCCAAAGGATACAGCAAATAAACAGTATGGACGAGTGAGAAGACGAAGCGGATAGCAGCAGACTGTATTTCAGATTGTACTGTAAAGGTATGTATGTTTTACAATGAGTCGTTTCAAACAAAAGTTATGTACAATGTTTTCATTTTTGACATCCAGCAAAAAACTGTACAATCATTGCTCCAGACTCCACATACTGGCTGACATCAGTGAATAGGTAAAGTGTTCTGTTTTATTTTGTATTTTTGAAATAGGTGAGAACATAAAACATATACATCGGTGAATCAGTATTGAATTTGCAGTGAAACATTTATTCACAAAGAAATCGTATCTTAAACGCTTAAAAACTTTTTAGATATTTATTTGACTGAATGTAGATTTAGCAACGAGTTTTAAAAGTCTACCATCTCTGTAAATTCATCTTTTATTTTTTTCATAAATTTCGTTTTATTTCATTACTTCTTTAGAACATCTGAAGTATGTCCAACACCATCAACTATTTGTACGAATAATCTATTTGAAGAAGAAAATGAATCGGTGAATACGAATACAAATTGTACATACGGTACGATTACCTATTGCTATTATTATTATTATCAAACTTTCTAAACTAGTATACAATAATTTTATCAAAATCCAGGTATACTTACCTTAATATTTATCACTAACATTACAGTTAAGGTGAGTTAGAAGCTTTGTGCAGCCATAGGTGTCTTTGAATTTTCAGCTAAGCTATTCTAAAGATTGCAAGCCACGACGAAAACTGCCTTAAACTTCTTGATAAAAGACTTCAAACAACTAACAACAAACAGTGTACGTATCCTTACAATATTACATAGCTGAGTGATAAAATTTAACTCACCGTTAGAATTTGACGGAACAAAACTAATTACTCATGATTAATTAGCGCATATATCTAAATACCATCTATACAAGTCGAATACAATTGTCTCCTAAAATATCTTTAGTGTTAAAACTCAACCTAGAACCGTGTAAAGAGTCCATATTGTAATACAGTAAAATGAGGTACTAGAGAAATAAGTCTGACAGAAAACAGTGATTATATGAAGGTTAAAGAAGACTTTGAAATTTGAGAAACAATTTGGACTGAATGTGTCTGCTCCATTTCCATTGATTTCAACTTTTGTTTCTGAGTGTTGCAAACTGTCTTCTATTCGAATATGGAAGAATTCAGCCTTTCAAACTGAACTTCGTTGTACAGTTTTTTACCAATATACAGACAATTCATAGGTGTTAATCCACAAACTATTTTCAGTTTCGTCCTGTAACTAACATCTGAGTTTGTGGAGATTGATTAAGTTTCTTAATTGTTACTCTACAAATAATGTCAACATCATTCTTCTGAGCACTGTAGGACGATGAACGCTCAAGACCAAAAGCAGATTGACACACTTCGGTATGTAGTATTTGCTAAACACATATTTTTTGAATAGCGCTATTTGAAGACGGAGATTTATCTGAAACATGTGGAGTAGTTGTGGAGTAAGACAAGCTGGCTGCCTACTATCTCTAATGATTTTTGTGATTGTGGTAGAGTGGGTGATCCGACAGACAGACAGCAGGCAATGAGGAGACAGGCATAAAATGGACCCACACAAAAAACTTGAAGGATCTTGATTTCGCAGACAATTTATGTCTCACTTTTCACAAACTGGAAGATATGGAAGTAAAAAGCAACGATTTGGCGACAGAAGAAGTATCAAAGATAGGACTTCAGGCGAACATAGAGAAAACAGAGGTGATGAAGATTCCTGACCAACAGCAGCAACAACAACAGACAACAATCAGCAGAAATGGGATATGTCTGAAAGAAGCAACCTCCTTTAACTACCCACCTAGAAAGCATCGTTTCAACCACAGGCGAACGCAACTGATGAGGATATCAAAACAAGGATCAGGAAAGCAAGGCAAGCTTTTATTACCCTCAAGTTTGTGCGGAAATCAACAGCACTCAGCATAAAAATGACAATAAGATACGGATTTTCAACTCCAGCGTGAAGTCAGTGCTACTATACATGGATCAGAGATTCAAGGCGTCATGAATAGCACTTAGAATAAACTACAGACCTTCATCAGCAGCTGACTTCGCTGAGTACTCAATATCAGATAGCCAGCCAGAAATGATCAGCAACAGGAATCTCTGACAATGAATGGACCCACCCACTGGGAACCGATTGTGCAACAAATATGCAAGAAGAAATGGAAGTGGACTGGCCATACTCTGAGAAAACCATCAAGTGACATCACAAGACAGGCCATAACTCGAGCGGAACCCGAAAGGGAAGTGGCGAGTTTTTCGTCAGTGCCAGGATGAAATGGAGGAGGTCATGTGAAGAGGAGATGAAAGCATGTGAGCAGACGTGAAGGCAAATGAAGGCGTTGTCAGAGAACCGAACGCAATGGAGACGTGCGGCTGAAGCCTTATGTTCCTCTAGAAACTAAAGGAAACAATAATAATAGTTGTGCGATAGATTTCGAAGAGTCTGACTACACATTTACTTGTCATGTCAGTTGACATAAAAAGTGAGAAATAAAAGCCAGTTAAAACAAACAGAATGATTGGAAATTTAAGAATAAGAAGTGTAATGATTGACAATATTTTTGGCAAATGAACTGTAATACTTCGATAAACTCGGGTGGTAATCTATTAATTTAGTTTCTAACAAAACACTCAACTGATGTACAGAACAAAATTGTTATCAAAACAGAATTCAAGATTATCTACCGAAACTGTCAGGTGTACTTGCTGAAATACTCTTGCACGAGGGTTGTCCACAAAATGAAGCCTCCTGTCTGTATGTACAAAAACAATTTACTATTCCCCCGCCCCCTGGCCCTACATTGGTAATCTTTATCTGATTATATGACCAAGAGTAGTGTTAATCATTATCCTTCTGGCTCTTAAATCAATTTATTGATTTTAACTTGCCTTTCATTTCTCATTTTTTCTATGTAAACTGATTCGACAAATAAATGTCTGGCTAACAACAATCATCTTATTTCCCATCCTTTTATATTTTATTGATAATACTAATAGTGGTTCTGAATGTACTTTATCTTCCTTCCTGTTCACGCAAGCCTCATATTGATTTTATTTAAATTTCTAGTCAATATTTTACTCGCGTTTATAAATGAAGCATGAAAGTTATGTGAGTACTTTAATATGATTATGAACAAGCAATTGTGCTCGAAACGTGGTCATCAGTAAATGTTATTGTATCAGCACTGTGTGATTTTATCAAAATAAAATTCTATCCATCATGGAATTATTCTCTACCACCGCAATGCCCGAGTTTTATCCTTATAAAAGTAAATGTCTGATCAGACTGTTCAAAATGCATTGCGCAAATACATCACATTTTTCAACTAAACCCCATCTTCTATAAACGCTTTCGAAATTTATAAAACAGACTAAATTTTTTAAATGTGTACTTCCACTTGTCTGAATAATACATATAAAATAAATCACACTATTTGAAATGTGCTGTGATTAGTCACACAGAATACAAAGTGTAAGTTATAGATTAATAAACTTTTAACAGAGTTTATTCTCCACTAGTTATTGAGTAAGCGGATAGTGGCAGAGGTCTGTTGACATCATTCATTTATATGTTTTCGACATAGAACTTTGCACTGATGTGCGACAGTTCAAATCGCCAGACTCCATGTAGCACACAAAGCAACAGAGGAAAGTAGAAAAAATGCATAATAGAGACAGTAAACAGAGGTGTGAGACAAAGGAATAATAATAACGAAGAACAATATAGTTTCTTTGGAAATCATAAGTCACAGGGAGTGGATGCGTCTGCGCCCATCAATTGAGAACGATTTTGAGCCATATCACCAATTGTTTCCAGCCATTGGTTTTTACCGTGCCAAGGACCCCAACCAGGAAGTCTGGGCCTTCCTACGTGGCTTAGACCAACTGTTGTGGATTTCATTGACTGATGCCATATTTTGGTTTGACCCCGCTAGCTTTTTTCCAGCCTGACCCTATATCCGCTAACATTGCTCGTCGAGGAAGGCGATGGCTAGGTATACGTAACACATGTCCTAACCATCTCAGTCGATGTAACTTCACAGCCTCATCAATTGATTTCCCCTCTTCATCTTGCACTAGACGCCTAACCTAAATATTGCTCACCTTATTATATCACTTCACACGGGAAATAGGGCGCAGGCACTTATGATCAAAGACAGCTAATCTTTTCATGTCTTCCACTCTCAATGGTCAGGTCTCATAGCCATAAAGGAGGACGGAGCGGACTGATGAGCAGTACACCCGCCCTCTAGTCGATAACCGGATATAACGTCTACGCCAGATACGGTATAAACTGGCATATGCGAAACTAGCCCTATATTTCCCTACTGAAATTTCGTCAGAGATCAACCTGTTGGCACTGGCTAATGGTACTTCCCAAATAAGTGAAGCCCTCAACGTGCTCTACCACTTCACTTCTTATTTCTAATCTAGGAGTCCGTGTAGTCCAGTCCTGTAACATCATCTTACATTTGGCGGGAGCCTATTGCATGCCAAACATTCGTAGATTGCTGATCAAGGTGTTCAGAAGACTCTAAATTTTGTCAGCGTCCTCGCATAGAAGGACTATATCGTCTGCATAATCTAAGTCAACGAGACTATTCCCTGGTAGCAAGTCATCATTCACTTCATACTTCTGTATCATCAAATAATTCAACAACAAATGAATCCCTTTTTAGAATGTAACTACATTAATACTCGGAATCTTGTTGTCTATATCTTCTAAAATTCTGTGCAAAACTCTTATGTTTACTGTTTCTTTCCTACTCAAAACATTAGTCACGTAAACCTCCATGTTACTTAATATGGTCTTTAAGTTTTCTTTTTTTATTTTATTGCCCCGTCATGCTTCTAACTTTGTTTTGTTCCAGAAAACAATACCAACCATGTGAACATTATTCCCAAATCTCCAGTTGGTGTAAACATTGTTGTGGAAGCCTTACTAACCACCCAATATCCTGAATCTGTTGTAAATGAAGCTGAATATTGGAAAGTATGCATTTTCTTATTTAAATTCAATACTATGCAGACTGGTGTCAAACAGTTAATGTTTAAGGACGAATATTATGATACTTTTTTTCACGAGTTGATCATGGACTGATATCAATTAGAGAGCCATTGAAAACCAGCTGGAAGTACTAGGCAGCTGCTTCATCCTAGTTTGGGAATCACCGGCAGTACGCGTCCACTGGAGTTCATCTTACCCCACCCCTCCAGTGTATTTAGTCTTCAATATTTGACTTGATACCATATGATACACCAATGAGGACTTCAGTTTAAGGATAACTCATGAATTCTTAAGACCATTGGTTGACCTTTTGGTTAAATAATGCACAAATTGTCTAACAAATGCTGTTTCACCACTTTAGAAGAATTGAAATTTCAGTGTCATTGGTCATTGGTTCGGAGTTCATACGTTTACTTTATTTAGTCGATTGTAAGCCCGACTAATATGGAGGGCTGGGTGTGAGACTGTCAACCTGACTGCATAAAAAGTGCACCACCATTAATGAAACTTTAGGGATGAAACCTAAAGCCCTATGTTTCACTCTGCTTGGAAACGAATAAAATAAAGTATATTAAAGGTTACGAGTGAAACAAAGGGCTTCAACAGCACATCTTCATTTTATGTCGTTCTCTGCAGTTTTCTCTACCTGACTACAACTCATCGTTTCCTGTTCGGTTCCCAATGGAGGGCCTGAACACCGTGTGATATCAGTCAACGATCCTCTCAGCATGTATCCTATCCATCTCCGCTTTACTCAACAAATTTGTGGCAGAGTAGGTTCTTGCTTATTTCCTGCCCAGAAGTCAATGTCGCTCATTCTTTCTGGCAATCTGATCTTCAGTATGGAGCGAAGGCAGCTGATGACAAATGTCTACAGTAGCTTGTTCCAAATGGTTCAGGTGATGTGCGAAGACTTTGGACCATATAGAATCACAAAATGACTTGAGATTGGTGTTGGAAATCTGGATCTTTTTGTTTATGCTTATTACACAATATATTTATAGGCTGATTTCAGGGCGATGAAGATCTATCTTACCTTTCCGATTCCGGTTTTGACATCCGGCGACATCCGCCTGTAGTTGAAACGATGCTGGTAAGATATGTGAAGGATGTAACCTCCTTCAGATATCTTCCGTCAACAGTGATTGCTGTTTGTTGTTATTTCCTGTCCTCACCAGCTCCATTTTCTCAATGTTCACTTGAATTCCTGTCTTTGTTGACTGCCTCTCCTGAGTAACTGTTGGTTCCCACCTATAAGTCATCGAGTTTGCATGACACTGGACATGAATCGTAGGTGAAGTTCAGGTCTTATGGAGTTTTCCTATCAGTGCAACCTCTTGCTATCTTCTTGTTTCCCGTGGTTCGTCGTACGATCTAGTCTAACACTTGGCTTCATCGCATATTTTACCTGCATAATGATGCCGAGGGCAGACTAAGTGAACATAATTTTGTGTATAGAGTTGTACTACTGATAATTAATTTCAGTAGTTAAATTGACTGCACCAATATGTTTGAGATATCGATGATTAGAAAGGGTCAAGCGACTGCGAACACTTGACAAACACTCATTCACAACAGAAACATTATTTATACTCAAGCGATGATTTCATCCCATCTTTTTGTGGGTAGGGTAAGTATTTTCACTATACAATGGATATTCAAGTCACCAAAATAAGTGATAATCATAGTCAGAATTACTATAGAAATCAATTGTGAATATCAGTGATTTATTCCTTAATATGAGTAACTAATAAGAATCCACGATTACATCACAATTCACGTTTCACAGAGCAGTCAGGAGATTCTTAAGTAGGCGGTATGAAATCCTGTCTTCAGATTCTATTATTAACTAAGTTTCCTTGATCTTTTTTTTTGTGTCATTTCCACTGTGTTATGGTCAAACCCGAAGCATGACAGAAAAATTAACTTGAACATATTACGAAGTTTTATCTCTCCTCATAATTTCATAGAAAAACAGTTTCCTATATATGACAATTTGATGTCACTTAGGGTTTTGACACTCAATTAGTTGAAGTTACTGGTCGAAATGATAAAAATATATGCAATCTTGAATACATTTGCAGGTAGAAATAGTCTCTTTTCTCATGAGAAATTTACATTTGACCTTAAATAATATGGTGGTATTCCACTATTCAGTTGAATAACTACACATTTAATACTCTGAATATTCATTATCAATTAAAACTAATAAGACATAGAATAATGCTGTGTATAATAAAATTAAATAAAGAAATTATTTAATTAGACTATCTCATAAACTTAAGCATAAATCTTTAAAACAAGTGAAATTTTCTAATTCGTCATTAAAATAAAAATTTTACAATTGGAGTTTACATTATCAAAAACTAGTGAAGTTTATTTGAAGAGGTTTGATTCTAAGATAGTGAGCTTCTAACCCGACCTAATTAGTTATCGTCTGGTTATAGTAAAACTTGTTAATGGAAAGTAGTCAATGAGAAACGGTGTATCTACTCAATTTAACTAAACTCTTCTCACTGAGTGAGCTTATATTGTACCATTTGTTATTTAGCTGTTTATTCTATCAAAGGTGAGAGGTATCTTAGTGAAGAGAACTTTGAAACAACATGCATGCCTCTATGGAGGCTTATTGGCAGTTCTGTGACGTTTGTACTAGCTGTGATTAAATAAATATTACTTTGATAGTATTTCTTATACATTATCGAATCTGTTCAATAAGAAGCATTCACCTGAGTAATTGTCCAGAATTTCAATTTGCAATGTTGATTTCAGTTACGTAGACAATTGGCAGCCAAGTAATATGAATTGTCCTTATCCAAGTATGCATAAATCACGACAACAGTTTCCCTTAAAAATTCATTTATGCAATAATATATGCTTAAGAGAAGACGTTGTTTTCAGCAAAAATAATCAGTGTTTGTAGAAATAAGTTGGGCTTCTTTCAACACATATTGGTTTTACTTAGTACAACCTACTCGTTTGTATAAGGAAATAATCATACCAACTGACTGGGATTCACAAGCAAACAGTGTGCTTCAAGCAACCTAATTGCATTAGAAATGTATTGATTGAGGATAATTTAGTGTTATGAATCCTTAGCCACCACTGTAACTAACAAGTGATGCTAGGAGAAATATGACTGGATTGGAAAAGGTTGCATGCTTTCAGACAAAAACATGGTACCAATTGATAAGGCTACTGACTGTTGATATGAGTCAAGCGGAGAGATGTAAGCTACCTAGCTAAGGGTTTCAGGGTGTTAAGCATGATTGGTTGAAAACTACTTGTCAAAATCACTTACAGTGTCAAAGATGGATTCACTTTATACCTAACTCCCTGTCATCTTTCAAATTCTGAGTGTTGATCAATTTTTAATTGAACACATTTTTTCAAATGTTTCTATGTGTAGTACAGTAGCATTATGTACATATACTCTTTTTCTACTTTAATGCATACTACACCAACGTTTGACAACTAAAAGTAATGCAGTCTTTCAGTCGATCAAATCACTTTCCATCTTTTAAATTTATGCTTCTTAAACTCCGTCTTCAACTTCTTTCGCCTTACCTACGTGCTAATCAATAAATCAGAATTCACCATTTTCTTTTGAGATGTAATCAAAAAGAGTGCAAAATGACTTTAACATCAAATAAGTTGTAAAACATAGTCTATTTATTATTATTTCCTTGGGTTCTGAGTTAAAAATAAGATCTCAACAACAGATCGCCATGTTGTTATATTTTCCATTGTCCTCTTCAGCTGGATCCACGATTACTCATCATCTGTCATCTCCTCCAACTCGCACGACTCCTTTACTTGGTGTGGACAAGAGCATTATTCCACGCCAGTTGCCATTCTCTGGTAGCTTGACAAGGTGACCGGCCTTTCATCCAATTTGTAGGCACCATTCCTTCCTTCCAAACCTTTTGCAGTATTAGCGTGAGCACATCTTGCCGTAGTCTCCGGGTCAGTTTCCAGTGCTTCGTGTGCAGTTCGGAATGGCTCTGCTGCCTTCCCGGGTAGATTACAGGTACTATGTTGCTTTGGAGACTTCTGTTTTCGTCGGAGAATCCACGTTTACTGATTGTTCAAGAGTCTTTTGAAGTGATCAGCCGATCGTTTCCTTTTGCTTCTCTTCTTGGGTAAATAGGTTCCGTTAAACATTTTATTTCATCATCTGGATTGAACTCTTCCCTGATAGAGACCTGGTTATCTGATATAATGTTCTGTGGTCCCTTCTACCTAAGGACTGCCTTCTCTGCTTCAGTTGCCGGCCAGTGTGTAGTAGAATTATCATTTGTCTCATCTAACACTCTTCTTTTATTCTTTATTCAGTGCAGTGTACATTGAACTCAGTCCTCTCCTTCTGTTGTCCATCTTCTCATTGAGTCATCTTCTCTTTCACCACCCTCCTCTCCTCAATTAGCTTCCGGGTAGGTGTCTGTTGAGAGCCATTCCTTGTCTTGTCTCTTTTTATTACTAGAACAGTTGTACAAGTTTCCTTGAACATCACCTTCAGACAGTGAGTTCCAGTGTTCTTCTGCACAGGTTTCCTTAATGACGTCACATAGTGTCTCCGAGATTGTTCTGATCTGATATGTAATGAAGGCATTCCTTGCAGTTTTGTCCTCCAATTTCTGAAAGTTGGACTTGAATTGGAGCCTGTCTGCAATTGTTTTCAGGGATTTCAGCTTCACCTTGAACTAGATGACTGTCTGAACCTATATCTGCTCCCCTTCTCGACTTCGTTTCCAGCAAACTGGCTGAGTCTCCACTTCCTTGAGCAGCACTGAGATGAAATCTATCTGGTTTTTGGTATGTCCTTCAGGCGAAACCCATGTTACTTTTTGTATATCTTTGTGTTTGTACACGCTGCCTCCGATCACTAGATCACTGAAAGCGCAAAATTCTGCAGACATTTCTTCGTTCTCATTCATTTCTCCGAGAGCCTCTCGACCCATGATGAGTTCTCTTCCTGTATTATCTGCTCCGCGTTCGGCTGACATTCATATGGCCCATCAGGATTTTGATGTCACCATTTGGGATGTTGTCCATTACTGTTTGTAGTTGTCTGTAGAAATCTTCCTTCCTTTCTTGTTCCGTGTTATTTGTAGCACTGTGAGTGGCATTGGATAACTGTTGCCTTCCTTCATTTTGAGGTGAATCTTGTCGTCATGATCCTGGAGGAATAGATCGATTCTCAGTGCATTAGGGCTCTTGCTGCAACTGGTGACATCATGATAGCCACACACCACCTCAGTGTGCTCATGGTTGTCGTCTGGACGACCAGACTGGAGTAGATTACTGAGTCTCCAGTCGAAAATTTCGATTGTCCGCATCCATTCCGTCTGCACTCGCACATACTCAGAACTTCTATGCAATATCTTCGCATTTCGTTGGCTTCCTGGGCAGCATTCCCAGCCCAGTCTCGTACATTGTACATACACTCCGCGTCTTCATTCTTATTCTTGCTTTCATCGAAAGAAGACACATCGGCTGACTGACTGTCTTCCCGAAGTCTGGCTTTCACCAGCCCGCCATGTCATTTCGCCTCTTCGATTCCAGCGAAGAGTAAGATTTTTATTTGAATTTTTTGTATTTTTAATATATTTTTTGTGCGTTGAAGTTTCTTTAGCAGTTTAATAGGTTTAGTGGTCTAGAGTAGCTAGCTTTACGCCCAGTCCTCCCTCTTAACCAGGTCTCGGGACCGGCTAGAAAACTAGCAAGCTAGTAAACTAGACAAGGTTGATATTTAATCTACTTACGGTTATTTTCATCCCATTGAGAAAAGTTTTAACGAAACTGTTTCTTCCATTCTATCTCTTAGCGAATGGAGAAGCATTATAAGAAAAACTTCTATTTCAACCAAATAAATGTATGTTTCCTTGTATTTTATATTATTTCTCTTTTAACTTGTATGTGAGTATTATTGATGTTCTGATATTTCTTTTATTTAACTCTTAAAAACAGAGGAAATTTAACAATGATCCTGAAGTGTGGGATGATTTCGTTAAAAACCCGATTAATCCATTGGTTCTAGTAAAATTGATCAATGACTGGTTAACACATTTAAAGGTATCAGTTGATTTTAATAACGCGTTATTATTTATTATAATTACTCATTTTTTTTCATTGTTCATTTCGTGATATGAAAACTTAACATGACCTTCATTCTGTATATAACTTCAATGTTGTGTGAAGATTTTGTATCTGTATGTTTTCTTTTCTGTCCAAAGCTGAGGAACTGAAAGAAACACATAGATCAGCCTTTATACCTAAAAATCTTTGATTTTTCGATTTTACACTGTGCAAATTAAAAATGTTAACATAAAAAATACAGCAATTAAAGTATACAGAGAGATGTTCAATAAAAGATATGGTGTTAACAGTAAAGCAATGTTAGATACATACTGTCTTAGAAGATGTTATTTAAACGCTTCACAATATTTCTTGGGTATTCAATTTACGGTTTAGCTACTGATACAAGACACTAGATGCTTATCCATTAAACTCCTCACCGCTTTGTGTTGCTCATTGGATCAACAGGTATACATCAACGCTTCAGAACAAACAAAAGCACTGACCTCATTAGTTTTAGGCATCAAATTAAAACATTTAGACTCACCTATTGACGGCTTCATTCTGAGTGCTAAATCTGCTGTACTTTTTTAAATCTCCTCATATAGACTCATTTCAAATAGTGTTGGTTTGCTGTGATCAGCTTTTGCATTGAATATGTTTCTATCATGTCGGAGATTCATTAGGAATAATCTTTCCCATTTTGTTAAGTTTGACTTTGCTTTCTTTTGCAGTTTTAATGCTAATGCCCATTGCATTCAGATCTTTTCTGCTACCGTTTTGTCTGTCGGACCTAATGCTACCTATATGTTAAGCATGATATTCTCTGGTTTTAGTTCACTAACTATCGCGTTGACGTTTAAATGGCCATTAAGCACTAGGTTCACATGTAAGCAGGAAACAGCTTTGTTGATATTGGATGGTTGTAGGCTATCGGCAGGAAGCTTTGAACCTAGATTTAGTGCTAGTTGGCATTCACCAGTCAGTAAGGCGTATCTGCAGCCTTGAAGGAACTCAGGTCCCTTCTTAGATTCGAACCTACATCACCCAGTGAGTGCTACAGTCCGAGACGTTAACACTGAGCTGTTCAGGCTTGAGACTGACCTCCTGTAGAACTGTATTGGATATTTTTGATTGAACGTTTGTCAGTGACTAAACGCACAGCACTAGTAACTGACTTGTTTCTAATCAAAGCAAAAAACAGTTTTGATGTTCGGCCCCTGAACTGAACAGCACTTGTTATGAATCTCTGATTTATTTCTTAGTTTATTTCTCTTTGATGATAACAGAGAATTAGAATTTGTCAAAATCAACTTTGTGAGGTGAAAATCCAAAAAAAGCATTGACAAACAGCTCTTGATATTTCTGACTTTTCTTTTTAGTCTCCTGTTCTGCGTGTACAAGATTTACTCAGCTTGCAACAAAACCCTTTATTCGAAGAAAATATTCTCGAATCGCTTGAAACTCTTGAGAAAGTAAGTGAAATGGTGTTATTAAATAGTTGATTAAAACTGTTTTTTTACTTTATGATACTTATAAATACACGGGATTTCACCTTTACAGCCACTGCTTAGCAAGATCATTGAGAGAGTGTAACTTCACGAATTAAATTTCAAGTATTAGTTTTGTAGGGATTTTGTCTGATTGCATGGAGGATTTAATCATGAGCTAACATCAGTTAGAGAACCACTGGAAAACCTGGGAGTACTGGACAGCTGTTTCGCCCTAGTTTGGGACCCTTCAGAAGTACGCGCCCATCGGGGTTCGAACCCAGGACCTTCTGGTTACAAGGCGAGCCAGCTCGTAGACCATTGAGCCACTGGGACCTGATCCAGTGGTCTTCGAGCTGGCTCGCCTTGTAACCAGAAGGTCCTGGGTTCGAACCCCGATGGGCGCGTACTTCTGAAGGGTCCCAAACTAGGGCGAAACAGCTGTCCAGTACTCCCAGGTTTTCCAGTGGTTCTCTAACTGATGTTAGCTCATGATTAAATCCTCCATGCCATTAAATTTCAAGCAAAGAGGCTTACATTATCTAATTTCAAGTAAAATAAGTCGTCTAAGGTGCAAAATCGCGGACTGAAAATTATTCAGATAGAAAACTAACCAATGTGTATCAAACAACCACTAAAACCACGATAGTAATAGTTTTATTCATTTCACAAAGCACAAAACGTCTCTCAGATATCATATACTATATGCTGTTATTATTCCCTTGGGTTCCGAGTGGAACATAGGGCTTCGACAACACACCTCCATTTTATCATATTTTCCGGTGTTCTCTTTAGCTGGGTCCACAATCGACCAGAATCTGTCACCTCCTCCAACTCGCATAGTCTCCTCCATATCACTCTCGCATCTAAGACCCACTCGTCACTTTCAATTGGGATTCCACTTGAGGGATGGCCGGCGTTGCGCGCGATGTTATTCGACGGTCTCCACAGTGTATGTCAGATCCATTTCCATTTCCACTTTCTCCTACATATTTGTTGAGTAATCGGCTCCTTGATGGTTTGTTGCCAGCCAGAGTTTCTTGTTGCTAATTCTTTCTGGCCGGCCGATCATATGATCTTCACTATGGAGGCGGCGAAGGCAGCTTTTGGTAAAGGTCTGTAACGTCTTGGAAATTCTTTTCGTCAGTGACACGCAGTGCAAATTTCTCACCCGTATAGAAGAACTTACTGACTCAGTTTACATTTGTGTCGAACGCAATCCAAATCTTGTTAGTTATGACATGCAGTTAAGCAGAAGCTTCCCAAACTGGTTTCAGGTTGATGCATACGTATCTTGCTTTTCCGATTCTGACCAGCTTTGATATCTTCATCTGTTCCGGCTATCTGTCGTTGAAATAATGTCTACTGCTTAGATAAGTGAAGCGGCCAACTTCTGTCAAATCTTTCCTGTTGATGGTGATTGGTGCTGGTTGTTCTCGCTGTTGGTGGTGGTAGGTTATCTTTATCATCTCCATCTTTTCTGTGTTCATCTAGGGTCCCGTCTTCGCTACCAGCCCCTTCAGCCAGTTTGTTAGTTTTCGCCTATATGTTTTCGAGTTTGTGTGACATTCAACGACACAACTTTTCCACGTGTGAAATCCAGAACATCTAGAATTTTATTATCGGTGATCCAACTGACAGGATCCAGCATAAAACAGTATACTATCCTTTCTCACGGATCGTGTGATTTATCTTGTGATGGAGTTACTACGTTGATCTATCATTTCTTACTCATACTGTGATGAAGCGTGTGATCAATTCATCGTCGTTTATCTCACGTTGGTCTTTGTTGGATCGCCAGCCAATGAGAACAGTCCATCCTCATGCCTGTGAGCTGACTTTGTTGTGGTGAAGAAATGTATAGATATATTTTGTTTCCTGATAAATGTGCACTACAATATCTTACAGTCACAGACTGGCCTTTGTCTTTTGATATTTGTGTGGCTCAGTGAGTCGGAAGGTGCGACGGACAAATAGGCATACTAGGGTACCAGTCGAGTTCATTAACGTTATCACAATTAGCAGGAGCATACATAATGAATTGATGGCAAGTTTATTCAGTTCAAAGCAGTTATAACACCAGCGTATTCCTGTCTCCTCGCTCGCCACACAATGTCTTCCGCATTATGCAGTCCACCAAAATTAAAAATATCATCGGTGATAATAGGCACGCTGCCTTGTCTCACTCCTGAATTCACTTCGAACGCCTCGCTGAGTTTTCATGGTGGGTTACCTGACACGTAGCATCTTCGTATAGTCAGTTGTTGAATGAGGTTGATAAATACTTGGTCACTCACTGCACATAGTAGTGTTCAAGCAGTTTCAAAATTAATCCTCCGTCAACGCTGTCTGTCGAAGGCCTTCTCAAAGTCAATGATGCTGAGGTAGAGGTTTGACTGCCATCTTATGGTTTTTTCGACAATAATGATGACGATGTGTAGAGTTGCAATTTGGTCAGCACATGATTTGTCTTTCCTGAATCCAGCATGTTTTGGTGGATGGTGGAATTCTGTATCCAGTGCATCTTTTATTCTCTCCAGGGTGATGCGACTTAATATTCTACTTGGCGCGAACAAGAGAATTATTCCACACCAGTTCTTGCAGAGTGAGGCGTAAGTCGTCCTTCTTTGGTAGCTTGACAAGATGACCAGTATTTCTTCCAATCGGTAGGCCCATTTCCTTCTTTCCAAACCTTTTCCAATAATGGCGTAAGGACATCTGTCTCAGTCTCTGGACTCATTTTCAGTGCATCAAGGGAAATTCCATCTGGCCCTGCTGCCTTCACAAATGGACTTCAGTAGCTTGATCGCACTCAAGTTTTCTTCTTTCGTTGAAGTATTGGTGTTCACTAGTAGTTCTGTGCATGCTTTTGTTGTTGGTATTTCTAAACTATTCTCAGATGATGGTCGACTGGAGATTTGGGGACAATATACTGATATCTAATATATATATATATATATATATATATATATATATATATATATATATATCACAAAATGACAACCTGCTATACAGCTGTTAATTTTCTTGACAGTCATATAGAAGTTAGAAAAACTGAAATGAATAAATGATGTAAGACCAATGCATTTTAACATAAGTGAAATTCTGTAATTATAAAATGAAATTAATTGCATTTAAGGCACATTTAATAATTTTCTTTTGAAATGCTTAAACGTCACATACTTTCCATACAGCTATAAATAAACCAATGAGCGACATACTTGGATGGATTTTAAAATTATTATTATGCATAAATCGAAATCATCTAGAAAACCAGAAATAAAGAAAAAGCACTGACTTACTGATTTATCATAGTTCGAGACTCATCAACTGACAGCTTTTAGAAAGTACAAGTTATTGAATGAGATGGTCCTTGATTTTGTCACACAAAAGTCCATCGGTGAGTACTGATTCTGAATGTCAAACCAGCACTTAACAGTTTAGTCATTTGCATTTGTCTTTAATTTAATTATCAACTATATGTAATAGTTAACTCAAGAGAAAATCTTCTGTGTATTATTTATTATTGAATCTTTATAGCCAGTGGTGTGTTTAATGAGTCTATTCGCAAGACTGATAACCAATTTACAACCTTTATGTGAAATAAAAGAATATCAATTAATACAACGTATTTTGAATTGGTTATGTCAAAACCAATCAAAGGCTTACACCTGCCATCAATTATCATCTTCAACAATAAAAAATGCACAAACAATAATATCAACCGATTCAAACAATTTCAATGTTCAACTACCATATCATTCACGATTCGATGATTCAATGAGAATAGCTATTAGAATTATGCGTTTTTTAATTGATTTTGTAAAGCCGAACTGTGGACCATCAGTTGAAAAGACTGATTCATTGTCTTCTTATTCATCATCTACTAACTTATATTGATCACCAAATGACAGTGATGACCCATGACACTGATAGTCAAAGTATGGTCAGCTATATGGTCAAGGAAATCAACTCTGAGATTATAAATTTACCTATTTTTTAAGTAATTTGTTATTCTTACTGTTAATAGTAATAGAATTAATTACTAAATAAAAGAGTAAGATGTTCATATGATTGCAAGCAAGTATATTTTATTTTTTAAATGCATTTCAACGAATGGTCTACATTGAGATATATGATGAGAATGTAATCAATTGTTGAGGTCCACAGTCTATTAAAATCGATATTGCGATAAGTCAGTTCATAGACTTTATATATATATATATAAATTATTTGTATCCTACTCAGTGAGTGAAGATCCCAGCATGACTAGCTCTCATGCAATAAGTGCAGTATTTTCCTTTATTTATCTACTAGCAATCAGTTGACCGTTCGAATCACACTGACACTTAAGATATGGAACTTGCAGCTTTACCTCACGGTTAACAGTTTTCTACTTAACACTAAATTCAGTTACATTTTTGCGTCAAAGAGGCAGTGAAAGAATGCCAGATGACTGTTTGATTTCAGATTAAGGTAAACAATTATTTTATTTTATTGCGAAATTCTCCTAAATTTCATCCTAACAAACATTCATGGAACAGAGGAATAATTAACACAAATTATAAACTGAGTCCATGTCTCAGAAACAGGCTGGATTCAGGAGGAATAAATCATGCATCGATGAAATCTCAACACTAAGGATCATCACTGAACAGAGCTTGGGATGGCTATCAGCTGTCTACCTCACTCAACTTCATCGACTTTGAAGAGGCCTTAGACAGCGTCGATCGAGAGGTGACTTGACAACTACTTCGCTACTACGGGATGCCGTCGACAATTATACATCTCATCCAACAGTTGTACGATAATACTACGCATGCCGAGTAATCCACAACGGGGAACTCACGGAATCATTCGAAGTGAAGATGGGAGCAAGATAAGGCTGCCTACTATCTCCGATGATTTCCCTGATTGTAGTAGACTGGATAATGCGACAGACAGCGGGTAGCGAGGAAATAGGCATAAAATGGACCCACACAAAAAGTTGGAGGATCTCGATTTCGCCGATGATATTTGTCTGACTTCCTACAAACTGGAAGATATGCAAGTGAATTACAAATTAACCATCCAGCTCAGAGAACACAACCACATCAAAATCATCCACCTGAGCTACAAATCTTCTCTATCATATCTATATGCAAGTGAAAAGCAACAAGTTGGCAGAAGAAGCATCAAAGATATGAAGGGCTTCAGGTGAACATAGATAAAACAGAGGTGATGAAGATTCCTGGCCAACACCAACAACAATCAGCATAAATGGGAGGAACCTGAAAGAAACAACCTCCTTCACCTACCTACCTGGGAAGCATAGTTTCTAGTACAGGTGGACGGAACTGACGAGGATATCAAAGCAAAGATCGCAAAAGCAAGACAAGACTTCATTACTCTCAAGTCTGTGTGGAGGTCAGCAGCACTCAGCGTTAAAAATAAGATCCGGATTTTCAACTCCAATGTGAAGTCAATGCTAATATACGGATCAGAGACTTGGTGCGTGCATTTCAAACAAACTACATACCTTCATCAACAGTTGTCTTCGCTCAATACTCAAGATCGGATGGCCGGAAAAGATCAGCAACAGGTATCTCTGGCGATGAGCGAACCAACCAGGAACCGATTGTGAAACAAATAGTCAGGAAGAAATGGAGATTTATTATTATTATTGTTCCCTTAGGTTCCTAGTGGAACATAGGGCTTCAACTGCACATCTCCACTTCCTTCTGTCTTGGTGCTGCTGTACTTTTCACCTGCATCCATGTCAGTCCATACTCTTTCAACTCCTCTCCCCACGATCTCCTCCATGTCACCCACACGCCGCTTCCTTTTCGGGTTCCACTCGAGGGCTTGACGCGCGATGTCACTCAGCGGTCTCCTCAGCGAGTGACCGATCCATCTCCACTTTCTCCTGCATATTTGTTGGGCGATTTGCTTTGTTTGTTCCCATAGTTCCTTGTTGGTGATTCTTTCCGGCCATCTGATCTTCAGTATAGAGCGAAGACAGTTGTTAATAAAGGTCTGCAACCCTTTGGAAATATTCTTTGTGACCCTCCAAGTTTCTGATCCGTATAGAAGAACTGACTTTACGTTTTTATTGAAAATCCGAATTTTGTTGTTGATGCTGAGTGACGAAGATTTCCAGATTGATTTCAGGTGTTTCTCGCCTTCCCGATTCTCGATTTGACATCCTCGTCCGTTCCTCCTGTAGTTGAGACAATGCTCCCTAGATAAGTGAATGAAGTGACCTCTTTCAAATCCCTCCCGTTGATGGTGATTGACGCTGGATGTTGCTGCTGCTGTTGTTGTTGTTGGCTGATTATTTTCATAACCTCCGTCTTGTCTATGTTCACCTGGAGTCCTGTCTTCGCCGGCTGCTTCTTCGACCAGTTTGTCGGTTTTCGCTTGTAAGTCTTCGATTTTCTGTGACATCAAACATAAATCATCCACGCACGAAATCCAGGTCTTCTAGGTTCTTCACGTCGGTCCAGGATATTCCTGTCTTCTCGTTTCCCACTCACTGTCTGACGCATAATCCAGTCCACCACAATTAGGAATATCATTGGTGATAGTAAACACCCTTGTCTGACTCCTGTGTTTACTCCAAACGCCTCGCTGAGTTTTCCGTTGTGGATCACTTGACGTGTGCCGTTGTCGTACAGCTGTTGAATAAGGTTGATGAATATTTGGGGTACGCCATAGTACTCGAGTAATTTCCAAATTACTTCACGATCAACGCTGTCGAAGGCCTTCTCAAAGTCTATAAAGTTGAGGTAGAGGTTTGATTGCCATTCCATGCTTTGTTCGATGATGATGCGTAGAGTTGCAATTTGGTCAGTACATGATTTGCCTTTCCTGAATCCAGCTTGTTCTGGTCGGAGTTCTGTCTCCAGTGCGTCCTTTAATCTCTCCAGGATGATGCGACTCAGGATTTTACTTGGCGTCGATAGGAGCATGATTCCTCGCCAGTTCTTGCAGAGTCCTAAGTCGCCCTTCTTTGGTAGTTTCACGAGGTAACCTTTCCTCCAGTCAGTAGGCACCTTTCCCTCCTTCCAGACCTTTTGCAATAATGGAGTCAGCATGTCTGCTGTCGTCTCTGGGTCCGCTTTCAGTGCTTCAGGGGGTATTCCATCTGGTCCAGCTGCTTTTCCAGCTTTCAGAAGCTTGATTGCATTCAAGACTTCAGCTCTCGTTGGAGGATTGGTGTCAACTTGCAGTTGTGTGCGCGTTGTTGTTGGTATTTCTGGACGGGTTGCAGGTGATGGTCGGTTCAAGAGTCCTTTGAAGTGATCCGCCCATTGTTTAATCTGTTTTTCTTCCTTGGTAATTGGGTTCCCTTGGCTGTCTTTTATAGGTTTCGCTTGTGTTGATCTCTTCCCGGATAGAGATTTGTTTATCTCTTTTGCCTGCTGCCTTCTCAGCTTCAGTGGCCAGGTTGTCGTAGAATCGTCTTTTGTCCTTCCTAGCACTCTTCTTCACTTCTTTGTCCAGTGCTGTGTAAGTTGAGCTCATCGTCTCTTTCTCTTGTCCGTCCTTGCATTGAATCATTTTCTCTTTCACCATTCTCCTCTCTTCTATTAATTTCCAAGTGTCCGTTGAGAGCCATTCCTTGTCTTGTCTTTCTCTTCTTTCTTCCTAGAACCGTTGAACACGTTTCGTTGAGAATCGCCTTCAGAGACTTCCAATGTTCTTCCACGCATGATTCTTCAGTGATGTCGCGTAGTGTTTCCTGCTTTGCTCTGACAGTTGCAGTGAAAGTGTCTTTTGTGGTTGTGTCCTTCAGTAATTGAGTGTTGAACTTGCATTGTGGCCTATCCCCAGCTATCCTCGAGGCTTTTAGTTTCACCTTGAAAGTCCCTTCTACTAGATAGTGGTCTGAACCCACATCTGCTCCTCTCCTCGACCTTGTGTCCAGTAGGCTCCGTCTCCACTTTCTTGAAATTGAGATGAAGTCTATTTGGTTCTTGGTGTTTCCATCTGGTGAAATCCATGTCGTCTTGTGTATATCCTTGTGTTTGAACACACTGCCACCAATCACCAAATCATTGAAGGCGCAGAAGTCTGAGAAGAGTTCACCATTGTCGTTCATTTCACCGAGGGCCTCACGACCCATGGTGAGTTCTCTTCCTGTGTTGTCTCCTCCCAGCTTCGCATTCATGTCGCCCATCAGGATTTTGATATCGCCATTTGGGACGTTGTCCATTATTGCTTGTAGTTGTCTGTAGAACGCCTCCTTCTTCTCTTGTTCTGAGACGTTTGTAGGCGCATAGCATTGAATGACTGTAACTTTCCTTCCTTTTGAGTTGAACCTGGCTGTCATTATCCTGGAGGAGATTGGTTCCCACTGCATGAGAGCTTTGGTTGCTGTTGGTGACATCATGATGGCCACTCCCTCGGTGTGCTCATGGTTGTCCTCTAGGTGGCCGGAATAGATTACTGTCTCTCCAGTAGATAGTTGGCACCTTCCAGTTCCGTTCCATCTGCTCTCGCAGATTCCCAACACTTCTATTCTGTACCTTCTCATTTCAGCGACTATCTGGGCAGCCTTTCCAGTTTCGTATATTGTACGAACATTCCAGGTACCCATCCTTACGTTTGCTTTCATCGAAAGAAATGGAGATGGATTGACCATACTCTGAGGAAACCAGCAAGTGACATCATTAGACAAGCCATCGCTCGAGTGGAACTCGAAAGGGAAGCGGCGAGTTGGTCATCATTGCAAGGGTAACATGGAGGGGGTCATGTGAATAGGAGATGAAAGCATATGGGCAGACGTAGAGCCAGGTAAAAACGTTGGCAGAGGACAGAAAGCATTGGAAACGTGCGGCTGAAGCCCTATGTTCCTCTAGCAATTAAAGGAAACAATAATAATAAACTGAGTCCAAGTGAAATTCAAATTCACCTCTGGTGTGTTTCAATTTCAGCTTTACTAATTTAGAGTAATAATAATATAATAATTTTTCCTTCACGTTCCCCAGTGGAACATAGGGCTTCAAGCTAGTAGCTTGAAGTTTCTGTAGCAGAGTTTATTTTACAGGATGGGGTTGCTAGCCTCATGCCCAACCTTTCCTCTTTACCAGAATTATTTCT